GGACGGATCCAGAAAAATAAATTGGGGGGGAGGGGGGAGTGGGGAGGAGAATTTTTTATGATAGACATATACTTAACAACAAATACATAAAATTGCAATTTTGGAATTAAAAAAAAAAGGTTGTAATAAAAAAATACATACCTTTCAAATTTCGTTTCTATTAGAATTGTGCTCGACGTTCTTTCAAGTCCCGAAACCCATCAATGATTGATTCAGTACTAATAGATCTTGCAATTTCTCTTTCGATGAAGATAGTCAAAGAATTTAGAAAGTACTAATAGAGGAAATCTCATATATTCAACTTGATTAAACCCTAAATGGCTCAAAAGGAACAAATAAATAATATCATAAATAAAGATATAAAAAAATACTTATAAATTGCTCAAGATGATGAATGCTCAAATCTCAAATCTCAATTAATATGTTTTTTTCCTCAAATTTGTTGCGCAGTGCTCTTCGAGTAGTTATGTTCAGCTCTCAAGTTTTTCTCAAATGTTTTAGTGGCCGAGAATCCCCCAATTCCCAACTTCTTTTGCTTTACATTAATTAAATCTTTAATAGTTTAAAAATAATTAACTAACATAATTTTTATTATATTATATATTATATATGGTTATTAAAGAAAAAGTAAGGGAAGTGGAATCGTGCCCCACTGCCCCGGGAAATGTGATTCTATTTATTTTTTTTATATATCATTTATTCAATTTATATTTTAANAAAAGTTTGGGGGGGACCATGGCCCCCCTCTCATGTATGTGCATCCGTCCTTGTGCTTAAGCACAATTGTGTGAGGCTTTTAAAAATCAACGAATCAAAATAAAACTTGAATGATGTTCGACTTGGTAATTGCAAAATGATGAAAAATTTTCAATTTCAGTTACGAATTTCTTAGAGCATCTCCAATGCCTCAACGTCAAAGTTAAAATTTTGTGCCACATGGAGGTAAACAATTGGACGGTTATTTCATATGAAAGCAATGTCCATGGATTGAATAACAACGGCTGATTTCCATCTCCAATGCATACTTTCATTCTTACATATATATTTTAAAATATACAAAAATAAAATAATAAAGTAGTTTTTAGAAGACTAATAAACAAAATTATATGATAAATTAGTTTTTAAAAGACAAACTAAATTCATTAGATAAATATATCAACAAAACATACGTAACACTTAAATTTTTTTATTTTTATTTTTTTTTAATATTTCAAGCATAAAACATATCAATACACCAACAAAAGATCATTTGGAAAAAATAATAAAATTTTAATTACGAGATACTCCGATTAATGGTTTCAAATTAAAAAAATGGCTTTTACCTCCACGAAATAAAATAAACAGTAGAGTAGTTTAGTTTTTAAAATGTTGAAAGTGTAATTACTAGAACAAATATTAGAATTAATATTTTATTTGCAACATATAGATTAATTATTTCAAATCTAAAAAGATGATTTTTATCTCCAAAAAAATGAAATAAATAATATTTGAGGTTTTTTCTCATTTTTTAGTCGTTTCCCCTTATATTTTGATGATGTGTTCTGTTGTACAGAATGCAGACAGTAGGCTTAACGATGTTATCGACATGTCAGCATAACATTGCCTACAAAATAAAGCATTGGAGGAAATAATATAAAGACGGTGTCTATATAATCTAATTTTTCTCTGTCAACAGTTCTCATTGGAGATGCTCTTAGATTTCGAACTTTCAAGAATTTGGCCAGGCTTGGTTTATAATTGCTGCTTGCAATTTTTAGAATAAAGGACACCGTATATCCTTTAAAAAAAACGTTTACTTTAATGATATGGCTTATCAATTAAGTCAATAATGCTTTTTATGTTTCCATTTTATACCCCAATTAGCAGTTTTTGTAGGCGATCAATTTTTTTTTCTCTCTCTTCCATTATATCTCTTTTCTCGTCATTCTTCTCTATTTTTTTTCTTTCCTCTATCTTCTTCCTTCTTCCTTCTCAAAAAGTATTAACCACATATCTCTAATTATTTCTCATTTTTCACTTCGATTTCTTATCCATAACATACTCACATAAAATACTCCTCCCCCAAATTTCTGAATTCCTTTTTTCTCTCCGCTCTCAGAATTATCTGTTCTAAAAAGGGCGACCGACATTGACCAACATGCTGCACTCACGACGGTGGCAAACGTACAGATCTGTGGGAGCAACTTTCAAATCAACGACAGTGGCATCTGGGACCAGTGCGAAGATCAGACCGCGGATTAACGGCAGACCGATGCCGGATGGACTGCCCCAATCAAAGGTTTGTGTTCGGCCCTTTTTCTGGGTGGCGATGACCAGCGAACAGATACCAGAGATGGTATTTTCTTTTTTATGTTGATTTCTTCTTATGGTGATTATTGTTACGGATGGTAATTTTTTTTCGTTTTGGTTATGCTAATTATTGTTACAGGGAATATTGTTATGTTTGATTTTTTATTGTTTTGGCATTCAATATCTCATAAAACCCACCTGGAAAATTGTATCTTTGCAAAAGTTATAATTTTTATTTTTTATTTGTAAAAATTACATTTGTCTCGTATGTGTTGCTATTTTGATTCTTTAATTGTTAAAAGATACTTGTGGATTCATTGTATGGTGAGTTATATGTCCTGTGCCTTCGTATGTGTAATTACTGTTTGTTTTTTATTTTTTTAGTGGTATGTTGGAGTCTTTGTTCTTGGTTTATAATTTAGTGGTGCTCTGTACAAGGCAATTGCAATTTTTATTCTAATCCAAAATTGTTAATTTTGTTATTGTTAATATAAAGTTGTTTTAGGGTTTTTTATGGATGTTATAATGTTTTTGTTTTGTTACATATTTTATATGTTTTTTCATAATATATATTGTTAATTTTTTAAGTTACAAAACAACTATGTGTTGTTTTTTTGTTAAATTAATTGTTATATACGTGTATAACTAGCTGATAATTATTTTTTTTTTTTTGGTGTTCTTAGGCATTCATTTTGAAAAGAAGAAGAGCAGGAAGAAGAGAGGGAACGCGTTAAATCAGACGAAGAAGAAAATGAAAAGAAGAAAAGGTAGAAGAGAGGGAACACGTGAAAAGGAAAATAAGAGAGATAAAGAAAGAGAAG